CCAGACTACATGTATACATCTACATACTTCGGAAGTGGTTGTCGTCTTGGGAGGCAGTGTAGGCTGAAGCACAGCCTGTATTACATCTTCGAGGCTATCTGGTATTCAGAAGAGAACCACAACCATGGTGAGGACTTCAACCTGGCGCCGAGCGCTCAGGGCCAGTCAATACGTACGGCATAGCACTAGAAGACAAGAAAAAACAATAGGTCAGTTCGTATAAACTCACAATTGCATTTACCTCGCAAGCAACAAGCATTCAGCGGAACTTACCACAGTGATAGACCGCGATGGAAAGTAGTGCCAGTGTTCGAAGTATCGTCCGAGCTCCCGTTCGTCCTTGCAACCACTCCAGAGTATACTCCACTGGCATTAGCGTGCCAAAAATCAACGTACAAGCTGCTCACCGGTAAGCAAGTGTTGACGTCGATGAGCTGCAGGTCCACGTACAAATCAATGCCTGGTTGATCCTCGCGAATATCTGAACGGATGAGCTCTCCAGCGACGTAGTATGGACCCTCAGTGACCTCGGGTTCTAGCAGGCAAGCTGCATCATCGGTGAAAAGTTCACTTGAGCTCGTGTTGGATGTAAGCCCCGTGCGGCTCGATTCGTGGTCAGTTGATAGAGCCGTCTCCGCATCAAGGCGACGAGCAGCTTGGATGTCTTTTAATTTGGCTAGACGACGACTTTTTGCCGACTGTTTCAGCCCGTGAGAGTTGATGCAACTTGCTAACAAACGTCGACCATTTTCAACGAACAGTTTGGTGGAGGGCGAGGCACTATTTAAATGTGTTGGGGAGTGACTCGAAGTAAACTTGGGCAGCATGAGAGCTACAACACTTGCCATTATCCACCAGCAAACGAATTGTGTCATGTCAAAGTAGGTTCAATCCGAAGGCCACTTGAACTTGCGAGCACGACTCTAATCGTGGAATGAAAACTTTTGATGAACTCATGACTCATGAGTCATGAGTGCGAATCCGGGTCGGTCGTGCCCAATGTAGCAGTGATTTTGAAGGTCAACTGCGTACAGGATACGGTAGTACCGTCG